TTCTTAAAACTTCTGTTTAAATACTGTGTGCATTTCACAAGTAAAGATTTAGCTACTGGGAGAAACTGCTTTTTTCCCGGAGTGTGAGTTCTCAGAGCAGCTGCATGTTATTTGGTTTCATGAAGTATTCGTTTATATTCAGTAATATTCTCAGGAAGTGGATTAATTGGTGTACTTGGCTTACATCAAAATTTATATGTAGATATTTAGAAATAACTAGAGAGTTCACTGCCTTCAGGCTAAATTATTTTTTACCTTTTTTACAGATTTTGACAAAATCAGTATAGATACAGTAATACTTTTTAAAAGTGCTAAATGTATTTTTCCTACAGTGTGGGATATTCTCTTCAGAAGTTAGGAGAAGTTCTTGGGTAGCTATAGCATTCTCCCAACCATTTCAAACAGAAGATTAAATCAGAAATTAAAATGGCTTTTTTTTTTTTTTTTTTTTCCCCCCCCAGTATCTGCGAAACAGATTGAAATATGGGAACTGGATATCACGGTCAAGATTTGCTTGCACGCATCTCTTGCTGTGGTCTTTTTTCCTAGAGTAAAATGACCAAATCGGCCATGATTTTTATATAATATGACTGTATTTGCTGCTTCATCATTGTTCAAAGTCAAGGGGCTTTTAATTAAAACACCTTGCATCATTTAATTTATGAAACGATCAAATATACATTAAGTTGAATTTTATATACTCTGCATTTAAATGGTCTGTTTGAATGTAATTATCTGTCTAGACAGCTGCTTAATCCAAAAGAAATTGTTTAGCACTTCAAAAGTGAAGACTAAAGAAATAATCTAGCTTATAGAAATACTGAAAAATAGCTACTAACAGAGCAATAGAATCAGTTAATTAAGGGTCCTCAGACATACACGTTCTGAATCTTTCTCTCTATTCTTCCAGTGGTCTATCAAGATTCACAATGGCAGCAATGAAGCCCTCACACAATATAAAATCAATATCACTTCAATTGCACCTCTTTTGGAAAAATTAGCAAAAAGTAGTGATGTTTACTGGGTCTTACAAGGTAAAGTAATGAACAGTAGGTAACAGTTTGCACTGTCTGTTGAATCATTATCTTGTAGGGTATGGAAAACTTGGTTCATACTGCTTACTTGCAGAGTAAAAAGAGTGTTGGTTGAATCTAATCTGGCCTTTCTTGCAGTCTTAATTAGGTGATACCTAACTAGCTGTTAGTAGTGATGGAGATTTTAAAGCTCTCAGAAAAATCTTTTGCCTTTTGAACTCTTAATTCTTTGTTACATTACTCTCAGACTCAATATGCCAGGTCTGTTCTCCCTGTGCTCTGCTCTATATGTGCGTCCTGGGAGTCAAGAACGCAAGCGCATAAAACAGCTGTATTCCTGTGTTTGTGTTCAATTAAATTTTCAAGATAACATAAAGAATAGGAGAGGTTCAACAAGTGCATCCTCTGTGTGTCTAGAGTGAATAGACATACTGTAGAGAATATAAAGAATTTAAGACTCTAGAATGAAACTTGCTTCTGTACACTGACCACTGATGAGTTAACATTAGGAGCCAGAAATCATGGTTCAAAATGAGTCTGATATTTTTATTATGGCACCAAGCTTACATTCTTTCACTTTCTTCAATAAAACTAAGGTATGTCTCTGACAATGCACAGTGGTCATAGGTAGAATCTGCTCCTTGTTTGTCTGCCATAGAATACAGCATTTTAGATTATCATCACCTCAGAAACATAGGCAGATTTTGACCCCTGATAGGAATATACCCAGCTGTAGCCTTACAGTCACATCCAAGTTCCTATCTAAGATGGTTCTAAACATTAACCTGAATCAACAGATTAATCCTCTCGCATTTCTTTCAAAACCATGTTTATCTATAACAGAAGCAATTAGCTGTCAGATGTCCCAATGTTCTGTTGATAAAGATTCAGTCCATTTAAGTAATCTCTGAGCTCTTTAATGGGATAAGTAGGAGGAAAAGCAGTCTGTACACAGAGTTATCTAGACATTGATTGTCCAAAAGTAGGCATTGAGGTAGCTAAAGTAAATCAACTTATAGCTCGTGGAGTGTGTTTCACTAGAGTTATGAACATCAGTAGCTTTTCATAGCAACTTACTGATCTCCAGCTGACCTTTTGATCTAGAACCCCATATAGCTTTGTATTAAGCTCTACATAATTTCTGAAGCCTGCAGGCAGTTAAGCGGTGTTCCATTCTTCTGAAAAACTGAAATTCTGCCATCAGTTAAACTGGAATCAACATGAGCAAGTGGAATATGCTTATGGACTACGACTTAGAGAAATGAGAAGCTGGTTTCTTTTGCAGTAACTAGAGGGTTTGAGAGATTTTTTTTTTTTTCCCCCTTTTTTTTTTCTGCTGCCTATCTTCTGTCCTCTTGGCTTTGGAGTCTTTCCTTGGGGGATTCCATTACTGAGAGAAGGCATAAGCAGCTCTGCCCTCCAGCATTATACGCTCTTCATAGGTTTGAGGAAATGAAACAGGCATTCATGTCTGGCTAAAGCTTTCTAATCTATAAGTACATATGCATGACTGAGGAATGGAGATAAGAACATTTCATCATGAACACCTCTCATTACTACTCTAGTTACTGTAACAGTCACACATTCCTTGTACATTTTTTCTTTACCATTAAGCAATTGTGACTACCTAAATGAAGATAGCCTGTACAACTTGAGCTGAGTATTTGTCAAGTAAAAGATTAACGTGCCCGTTCTTTGTCCTTTTCAAATCAGACCCTGTTTATGAAGATATGCTGAGTGAAAGTCGGAAAATGATCACTAATGAGAAAATAGATGCTTATAATGAAGCAGCTGTTCGTATTCTGAACAGCAGCTCACGAAATTCCAAAGCTAAAGTTAAAGTGTTCAGTGTATCAAAATTGATAGCACAAGAAACTATCATGAAGTCTGCAGATGGCCTGCATCTCCCTGAATCAAGCAGAGATACAGTAAGTATTTTTATCACTGGTCTACATTAAAAAGCTCTTTTTTTAGGTCCTTTTAGAGAGAACTCTTCTGTTGTAAGGTTTAGGATTAGGTCTTTTTGCTTACCTCAAGAAGCTCAAAGGTTTGGAAGAGATACGTTGACTGTACTGTTGAATCCAACTAAGTACATGGGGATACTGTGAAATTTTATCTCTGTAATGATAAGGGAGAATTGCATATGTTTTATGTCAATGCATGATCTAGAAGAAAATTTCTTATGATGAAATGTAAACTTTTTTATTAGAAATTGACAAAACTGCCTATTTCTTTGACAGAATGCGATGATTCTTATGAATGTCTACTGCAATAAGATAATGAAGCCCATTGATGGCTCCTGCTGCCAGCCTCAGCCTCCTCTCACTCTGATACAGAAGTTAGCCTTCTTTTTCTTTACTTTTTCCATCATTGGATATTTAATCATCAATTTAATTCATCGGAATAATTTTCGGAAGAACAAATCGTGCACTGATTTGGAAAGTGGAGAGGAGAAGAAACCTGCCATCAGCACTCCTAATGTTTCTACTTTAGAGATGCTCTTACACTCCTTCTGCAAACTTGGTCTAATCATGACCTATTTTTATCTATGTGACAGAGCAAATCTCTTCATGAAGGAAAATAAATTTTATACACATTCATCTTTCTTCATACCAATCGTCTATATCTTGGTTTTGGGGGTATTTTATACCGAAAACACCAAAGAGGTAATGCTCATGTGGACATCGTACTTATAACATTGTTTACTAGCTTGAGTGTAAATAACTAAATATCGAAAGTTAAATTTTCAAAGTCAGTGTAACTCATCTGCAGAAAATGCACTCACAAGCAATATAATGTTTGCATGGTATTAGATGCAAAAGGTTTTTGAAAGCATGTGGGTATGAGCGCTTTTAGCCATTGTCACTAGGTCAAATTTGAAGTGAGCATAGCTCAGATACAAAAGAATTTAGAGCACATTAAAATCTGGTAGAACTGTGTCCACTAGACACTAGAAGTCTTTTACAATTGACACCTGTTTACACATAAAGTGGTTTATTGTTTTGAACTTTTTCTCCTCATTTTGTAGATGTTCGTTGTACTTTTTGGAATAGCAACACTCTTGTTTTGTTTTGCATTAGACTAAAGTGTTAAATAGAGAACAGACTGATGAATGGAAGGGCTGGATGCAACTTGTTATTTTGATTTATCATATCTCTGGAGCAAGCACTGTAAGTGATTTGGATTTCATTTTTCTTTTAAGTGAGAATGCAATTTGGGTATGTTACTTCAAAAGAAAGATAGTGCAAATGTGTATTAAAGTTGAATAGAATGAATGCTATCGTTCCTGGGATTGTAAAAATGGTATTAACAGAATGAGTTTTTCACTCTATTTAAGTGTAATTTCATTGATAACAGCATTTTACGCATTACATAGCCAATGAAAAACTATACTTGTTTCCTCCATGTAGAATATTACATTAGTTTATTTTTAATTGCTAGCAACACTTCATTTTTATGTTCAGAACTTGAAACTGCTGAAGGTAAGCTTTCAAAGATCCTTTCTTAACTCTCTCTTAATTGGCAATTAATGAGAAATGGCAAGTGTAGAGTAATAAATAGCAGAAACTCATTTTAATGTCAGAGAGGTTAGGGCAACAAAAGAGCTTAGTAAGAAACAAGCAAAATGCAGCATGATGTTTCTTTTCTTAGTTAAACCTGATTTACTGCAATGCAGAAAAAGCATAAAATAGGGGTGGAGAAAGGAAAATCAAAAGCACCTATGTGGCCACTTGTAAAAGGTACTTTCTTTTTTCTCAACAGTTTTTGCCTGTGTACATGCACATTCGAGTTCTGGTTGCTGCATATCTGTTCCAAACAGGTTATGGACACTTCTCATATTTTTGGATAAAAGGGGACTTTGGTGTATACAGAGTGTGTCAGGTAAGACTGTCTACTTACTGGTTTTGTAAAGAAATTTCTTCAGATAACAAAACATCTATAATATATCTGTACTCCCTAAATAATGTGATATGAGATTACATTAAAAATGGCCGTTGTTTCTATGTAATCTGACCCGTTGAATCAGTCATGTTTATCTCATACAAACCTACAGCATATAAATTATACTTGCAATGTAAAAAATGTAAGTACGTAGCCTTTAAAATAGCAAGACAAATATTTTCCAATATAGCAATGGAGCTTTCATTGCAGTAGCAATTTACCATATATAGCAATGTATGTGTAATGATCCAGGCAGGCTGGCTGGCAGTGAAGAAGGATATCATTGACAAGAAATGTATTTACTAAATCTTCCTAGATTATTCTATAGTCGCTGGTGAGTAAGAGGTTTACGTGGATAGCTGTGATGTTCTGAACTGCCCTCTGGAACAGCCTTTCTCCAGTTACTATTGAGAATAGATAGGTGGTGTAAATGTTATCATCTGCTCTCCCCTGCTGGCAAAAAAAAAGATGGTTTTCCCAAATTAGCCATTGGAAATACTTCATTTTGCTTCTCTTACCTTGTTCTTAACAACATCAGTCTGCTCCATGTTGATATTTTCCCATATGTTTGTTTTTTTAAAATTATTAGTATGTTTCTATTAGAGCTTTCTTTATACAAGTAGATAAATGTTTAGTGAATCCAAGAGGCAGTTGTATACAGAATTTCCTTTTTTGTCCTTTTCTGTGAATAAAGGTAACTACTCAGCTAGTTACGCAGGACATTGGTTAGATTGCTGCCAGGACGGCAGGTCTTTATGTAGATGGAACAAATGTTGTCTTGTCTCTGATACATGAACAAGAGGCATCACTGTAGTACTTGTTACCTCTTTCAAGACATAGCAAAGTATTGTAAAATAATGTACATTACTTTTTCTTTCATTCTCAACTGAGTATTTGTTGAGTTGGGTTTTTTTGTTGGGATGGTTAGTTCTGTGTAACAGTATGTTTAACCATTTGATATATAGAATATGGTCAGAAATACCATTGTTTTTCTTTAAAAACATATTAAAATTTCACGAACATATCGGATGTATCCTTTGAAAAACAAACATGCAGGTTTATTTTTTTTCATTTAAAAAATGGTGGGGTTTTTGTTCCAAAAGTTTTTTCTGTTACAGGTTTGAGTTTTCAGATCAAAATGTGAAATAGGGAGAAAACCAATACTTTCCAGTCAGCTATATTGATTCTGTGGGTTGTTTTCTTTTCCAAAGACACTGTATTGGAGCCTACATTTGTTAATAAAGAAAATGAATTTTTGCACCATAACAGTTGGAGAACATGCCTGTTTTTGTGGTTTCCGTCCCAGGTTTTGCAGTAGGTGCTATAGCAGTTTAAAAAATAAAAATAAAAATCAATCTTTAGTTGCTGTTAAGCATTATATTGTCATGTAACTCAGGTCATCGTGCTTATTAAGTGTATGACTACAGCCTAACCGCAGCACTGGTAATGACATTACCCTAGCTTTAACTGAGCTAGCCCAGGTGCTATGGGAGTGAAAGCAGAGAGGCACTAACAGCATCCAGCAACCTGAATACTCAGTCCCCAGCCTGGAGTCAGTTCTGTTTTACCCTATTTCCATTGCTATCTCTACCGAGGTAGGCCAGCATAGGACAGGTCCAGTACTACATAATCAGCCTGTAGGCTTATATTGCATTTTTGATGTTCCCCAGGACACTTACCTGTGTTTCAGTTGAAAGAGAACCAGCATGCAAGATGTAAAATACACAGATATTTTTATATAGTGCTAAAGAAACATGTCCCCCATCCCTCTTAGCTTTGCCTCCCAGTTTACATATCCTCTGCCTTCTCTCCTCTCACTTCTTCCAGGTTTTATTTCGTCTCAATTTCCTGGTCGTGGTACTATGCATAGTGATGGACCGACCTTACCAGTTCTACTACTTTGTGCCGTTAGTGACTGTCTGGTTTATGATCATTTATGCCACCTTAGCTATATGGCCCCAGATAGTCCAGAAAAAAGCAAATGGTAAGATTTTTTTTTTTTTCCCTTCTGCTATAAAATATTTGCATGTTACTACAAATTATAACCATACTGAAAATGGCATTGTTAGTACATCTCATCTGTTTTTAACATAGTCACAGTATCTTAAATAGCTGTTCACAGGAATACGGTTTGTCACAGATGAATTGTAAGTCAGCTGAAAAATGTAATAGCTGATAACTAAAGTTTCTCTCTGGTTACAGTCATATTAGAATACTTTTTAATAGGTTTTGACCATCAGAAATGTGTTCTATCAAGAGTTGTAATATTATTGAAGGCAAACTAAAAACATAGCTGTGCTAGTTGAGATTGTTGCTGTAGTCTACTAATGCGTATGGCATGAACAGTGAGCATTTACTTTCCCATCCTGCATTGTCAATGTGTCATATCCATCTTGAGCACTAATTCTGCCATATCTGCCAAATAAGAACTTGGTGTTTGTTATCTTAGTATCTTAGACTAAGTGAACTATCAGAAATATGTCTTGCGATACACGTATTTTAAATAAAAATTGAAGTGAAATTCCAGTTTATTTTGTGCATTGCATTTCATTGAAGAGCTGTCATCATGTGGTAAATGCTTGTTATTTAATTCACCTAAACTAGAACTAAAACCTTACGTGTCTTAGATCCTCCTTCCCTATCGATGGAGTAATATCCAAATTTTATAGTCTGCTGATATGACAATGAAATGTCTAGCAAATGCATGCTAGCAATAGATGCTGCAAAAATATAATTAGAGAGTAGTTTTACAAGATATCTCAAAGAAAAATAGCTCCAATATTTATTTTTTGTTTTTTTTCAATAAAGGCACTTCTGTTCCAAATACAGAGAAATTACTGTTGTGTACTTAGGAGCAGTAGTGTACTGTGAAGCTAGAAAATCTTTCAATGACAACTTTCACCTGCTTATGTCCCTATTTATGGCTGCCAGTTTATATGGCGAGAGAGGGAGATGATCTCTGTTGCAATGTTGAGGCTTGGGTAGAGCTTAGTATCAGTCAACAGCTTTGAGGAGCAGTTTCTCACGCTTGTCTTAACAAGATACTTGTGCCTAATATCCCGCAGTTGAGCTTTGGAGTACAACTGGTAGCTCAGAGTTTAATAATACATGTTCTACTTATCTCACATGACAAAAGCTGTTGGGCATTTTATTTATTTATTTATCTATCTATTTATTTATATTCTTTTATATGCATATATATTTTATATATGCATTTTATAAATAATTTTACAAATAAATATACATTTGTTTATATGTATAAATTATATGTATTTTATATTTTTATGTATTCATTTACATTCCCGTAGACTAGGGACTGCCCGTGCAGAGTATTTGGGAAAGCAGAGGCTTTATATAGTGTTTCTGTTTGAGCACCTAAATTCTTTTCTTTCTGTATGTATGTCGTCCCTGTTTTAGACCCGAGGGTTAATTTACGCATAATAAGTTGTTAATTGCTGTGAATGTTTATTTTAATCACTTAAAGCAAAATTTAATATGTAAATGTAGATAATGATAAAATATTGCTGGTAATATTTGAACATTTATTTATGAATGTATCTATTACTAAGCATAGCTACACTGAATAATGGGCAATTATTATTTAATGTGTCCTGGGTTTTGCTATGGAAAAATTGATGACAGTATACTGATTAATTTATGTCTTCCTCAGGGAACTGCTTATGGCACTTTGGTTTACTGCTGAAACTGATTTGCTTACTGACATGTATATATTTTCTGTCCTATTCTCAGGTTTGTAAATTTTGACTATTTTTATCCTTAACAACCTAAGAGAGTATTACCTGTCTCTACTTTTTAATGTGCTCATAACTTGTATATTTTCTCCTGTATCATAAATGTAGAAGAAAAAAAACCAGAACCTTTCAGTTTCTTTTCATCTTTGAATTGGTGTGCATGCTGGAAAAAAACAGTTCTGTATCTTACTCATTTGTTCGTAATGCTTGATATGTTTTTAGTATACTACAACAATTGTAATAAATACAAAGGTCTGTGCTTTGGTTTTGGGGTGGCATTTTTTTTAATGTGCTTAAAGTTACTGGGTTTTGCTAGCATATGGTGATATGAAGATCTGTGTCTCTTAGTGACCTGGTGTTGGCTTTGATCTCTTATCCAAAGACTGGTTCTCATGCTAAATTAGCAACTTACTGCATGCTGTAAGTATAGCTGACAGAAATAAGGGCAGAGCTTGCCACTCCAGGATTTTACAGGAGGGGTTGTGTGGTTTTAGTCACTCATAGGTTTTAAGCCTTCTGTAGAGTATGCATTCCTTACCCTAACATGTCAGTGAATCTCTCCCTTTAAGCTCGCAGCACAAAATGGAAGACGTGCCTATACCTTTATGGGAAGCAAAACTGCAACTCTCTCTCATCTGATGAAGTATTTTGGGGGGTTGTTTTTTCTTTGCGGGGCGGAGTGCCTTCTAAGGAAGCCTGTTATTTTGGTAATGCCACTAGCTAGTGAAATAGGGATGTGATAATACTAAAAGACAGTGTATTGATTTAGGTTTATTAAGTATGGTTGACATCAGTGTTAATGTTTTTGCTATGTTTATTTTTTACAGGGCGCATTTGAGAAGATATTTTCTTTTTGGCCACTGTCCAAGTGTTTTGAACTGAATGGGAATGTCTATGAATGGTGGTTTAGGTGGAAGTTGGATCGCTATGTATGTAACATTTGCATAAATTTATACTGATCTTCTAAGTGTATTTTTTAATTTAGGGGGGACAGAGAGTTGTTTTCCTTTCCTCCAGAGAAACGGAAGTTTGTCCCAGTGGATTGTTTAATAGAAGACCAAGCTGCATCCACCTTACTTCTGCAAATGTCTGTCAAAGCCTTGCTTAAAAGATGGATGTTGATTTATTTGCTGCGGGGTCCTGCTTAATTTGCTTTTAAAAAATAAAGTCATAAGTGACCTAGATTTGTCTTTTTCCAAGAATCTTACTGCAAAAATTTAGCAGCTGTAGCATTTCAGGCTATTGAAATACAAGGGAAATAATTGTGGTGGCTTTCTTAGTAACATTTTCTGAAAGTTGTATCAATTAAGGATGTATTTCTTTTATGGTAACCATTAAACCACTTTTAAAATCGTTGTCTTGGTGCCCAGACCACACTGTTCTTGCACCTATTTTTAAATGGTTTTCCAGTGGGAAAGTGCTTTCTTTCCAGTTACTGACCCTACAATGTGGGGGAATAGAACAGGGAGACACTGGTCTTTTTTTTGCCTTCTTGGCAAGGGAAGTGGAGTTTCTAAGATGGGAGCATTTATCTGCTAACCTTATCCTTAACGAAATCACTTGCACACTTCTCCCTCTGGAAGTCTTCAGTAACTGAAATTTGGGGAGCACACAGTCGTCACATCCTGGGCTGCTCCCATCAGCAGCGCACATGGCATTGCGACATTTCAGACTTGGAGCTTTGCTGCTTATGAACAGTGTGTGTTCTGTGATGCCGCTAAAGAGGAAGTCCCAAAATAAATACAGAAGACAAGCACCACATGGGCCTGAAACAGCATGTGTTGCTAGCTAATGAGAACTTGGCATAAGATCATAAAACACTCTTGAAGAATTATGTCTGTGAGAGAAGGAAGCACTTGTAGTGCTTCTTGAACATTTTCACCTGCCAACTTGGGAGGAGGCCAGAGACTCCTGGTTTTTCCCCCGAGAAAGCCCTTTTCAATGCTAGCATAGATTGCAGAGGGGGTAGTAGGTACTTTAAAGCTTCTTGAAATTTCATTGTTGCGTCTAATGCTCTGTGAAGCATGAGGAAGAGTACTTTCTTTGTAGTTCTTGCATGGAGTTAGAAATGCAGTTTGTGACAACCTAGTGTAGAAAACCTGTTTTTGTTTGCTTCAGTAAATCTGGGAAAGGACCTTTTGACACCTAAGCTTTGGTATTACAAATAGTTTATCCTGTAGCATTCTGTTAAGAGTTTGTACCTGAAGTACTTGTGAAAGCCATGAAATATTCATTGCATTCTGTTTGTCTTTTACAGGTGGTTTTTCATGGGATGCTGTTTGCTTTTATTTATCTGGCATTGCAGAAACATCAGATGATATCAGAAGGAAAGGGAGATCCTCTTTTCTCCAACCGAGTTTCAAATGTTTTAATATTTTTTTCAATTGTATCCTTTTTGGTACGTACCTAGTATAACTAGTATAATCAGGTTTGTAAATCTCTAACGAAGAAGTTTTCTGAAGTTCTTGTTTAGAAAGTGTATTGATTTTAGAAAAATACAAATCTTGATCTGTAGATATTTCAGCTGTATTTTTCTGCACAGCCCTACCTGTCTACTCACTAAAATATTTTTCCTTTCAGTCCAATTGTAGATGAAAACATCATCACTCTTTCAGTTCATTGCAAAGGTTACAAGAAAATTGGATCATAAAAATAACATGGTAGATAAAGCAACTCTTGTCTCCACTGTTGTTTGCTTGTCTATTTGTGATGAAAAAATTGTCAACAGTATGCTTCTATCTTAGGGTATGAATAAGTATGGTATTCTTCAGTTGGATAGAAGAATTTGAGAGAAACACAAAACTAAGTACAGTGTAGTTTTTTTTATTACTGTCCCGCATCTTAGTGAACCAACTACTGCTGAAGCACTTCAAAATAGCTTACCTCTTGTTTAATTTTTAAATGTTACATGTAATTGCTACACAGACTGATTTTTATATCTTTTAGACCTACTCTATTTGGGCTAGTAGCTGTAAAAACAAGACAGAGTGCAATGAACTACATCCTTCTGTTTCTGTGGTGCAGGTAATTATAATTACAGTCCTTTACCGTGATAGAATCTAGTCTGTTCTTGTCTTGGCTTTTCTTAAAATTGTTTTGAAATATATTTTTGCTTTAGCATGGAATGTCAGATATTGAGCTTCATTCTCATTTCTGAAAGCAAAAAAGGGTTTAACTATATTGCTTGCTTTTTTTTGTTGCCTTTAAGCACTGAAATTGCATATTGTAATTACGCTTTTGATTAACCCTGATGTCCTTAGTGTAGGTTTCATATGCACTGTTTAAGTCCACACCTGACTTTTGACTAATTGCATAGCAGTGGAAAAAAAGAAGCTGTAGGGAGGCACAAGTGTTTGGGAGGTATTAGTATAGGAAGTAACCTATAGGATCCTGTAGTCACTTTAGGCAGAGAAGAGGTGGGCCACAGGGGCATGTGTGTGGTTTTCTTAAATTTAGATTTTCCTCTTACTGTGTCCCCTGCACCATTATACCCGAGTTGTCTGATTCTGTTCCCTTTCTGTTTCCTTTTTTTAGTAGTTTGTCCTGCCGTCTTGAGGGACAGAATGTGTGACTTAATTTTTTAATATTAATTTGTCCATCTTGACACTTCCTCTTTAAAAATTGAGGGTTAACTCATATTTGTGGCCAACTTCATTTTAGGCTGGCATGGTGTAACATGATTTTGTGACCATGCCCAGTAAGTGTATAGTAGTATCTATCAACATCAAGGCCATGGTTCTACTGAAGAATTAAATGTGACTTGTTATGCTATAAGCATGTGTGTAAGCGATTTTCAATTTCAAGACCTACTTTGTTAAGTATAAACAGCACAGATTTTTGTTTGGTTTATATCTTTATTAGATTTTAAAGAAAATCTAATGCATTTTAGACTTTCACTTTAGACAGTGAAAATGACTAAACCTTTTTTTTGTGTGTGTAATCTGCTTGTCATCCACAGTCACTTTTTTAAAACTTTTTTTTAAAAAGATCTTAGCTTTCATCCTTATCAGGAACATTCCTGGATATGTCCGATCTGTGTATAGCTCGTTCTTTGCCTGGTTCGGCAAAATTTCTCTAGAGGTAAGTACAGTGATCAGAAGTACAGTGAATTGAAATGTAAGGTGGTTTTATTACAAAATTGTAGTATAACACATAACTAGTGAAAACATTTATTGGCTTATTTAATACCATGCTGTTGTGATTTGACCTCTTTCAACATTGTAGCTTCCATCTGCACTTAAAAATCATAGCTGAAGTAGCAGTCTCACTGTAGCAGACTGACTTCTTACACTGTTTTGGGGGGCAGTTTAGTGTTGTGAGAATGGGGATTTAATGCTGGAGTAAACTGGTGTGTATGCAGTTGGAAGATAAAAATTTAAGCCAGTTGAAGAATCAGCATGCATTATACTGACTAATGTAAGTACAGTTATAAATGTGTTTGCTCTAGAAGGCTTTTCTGCATTAACAAACAAATGTAACTTTTCAAAGAAAACCCTTTGTAGTGCAAATGTTATCTTGTTCCATTGAGTGTATATTTTGAAACAGTAGGAATTATCTTGCTTTCCATTTTATTTGCTGTTTAGTAATATTAAATGTTTAATTTTATTGTATTACTAAAATACATTTTATAAAGGTTTTCCAGGAAACTCATTGTAATACAATGTATACGTAGTACAAGATTTTTAATTTTTTTTAAAGGATTATTTTTTCACTGCTCTGATTCCTGGTGAACTCTGAGGTGCTGATCAACTCCAGGGACCTTTGCATTCATCAGCAGTTGAAGCATTATCTTTTATTTGCAGGCTTGTTAGTTCAGTCCCTCACCAGAGATACAGTAACTGAGCGGAGGCATATTCCTCATCCGTTCTGCCATAATGTAAACGATGCTCCCCTGTGCCATGTTTGGTTGAGGGCTAAGCAAACCAGTTCTGTCTTCAAGCAGAGACATGGGGAAAACGGCTTCTCAAACTATGTTGTTTAATCACAAATGTCTCACTTAAGCAGAAGTACAGTGTGTCAGTTGATGCAATAGTAATAATTATATGTTTTCTATAAGTAAAAATATTTATATATAAGTATTATTAAAGACATTCTTCTTTCTTTTAGCTTTTCATTTGCCAATACCATATTTGGCTGGCAGCGGACACAAAGGGGATCTTGGTGCTCATTCCTGGATATCCAATGTTTAACGTTCTTGTCAGCACTTTTATATTTGTTTGTGTGGCACATGAAATTTCTCAGATCACCAATGATCTAGCACAGATTGTGGTTCCTAAAGATAACTCAACTCTGCTGAAAAGGTTGCTATGCATAGCTGGATTTTTTTCTGGACTACTCCTCTTCTCAGCAATGCAAGATCAGTCAAGGCATTAACTTGAAAAGATTCTTGGAAACTTTCTTCAGGTTTACTTTGTGTCTGCCTGAACAAAAATTCTCAGCTGGAGGTACAAGAAGACATTTCAATTAAGTGTGTGGAAAATGTATATAGTGCAAATGTATATATTTTGTGTGGAAACAGCCTTCTCAAATAATCTGAGAACCAAGAATGCACTGTACAGAATTGCATGTGAAAACGAGTCTTTTCTACTGGATATATGTTTCTGTTTACATATCTGTTTAAACGTGACACGAAAAAGTGAAGTTAAATGGTTTAGCAATATCACGTGCTTATCATGGAATTAACTTTACCTTGGGTCAGCCAAACGAAGAGCGGGTGAACTAGAGTATCGCCTATACGAAACGCATGCTGTAGTTGTTCTCACCAAGGAACAAAAAAGAGCAAACTTGTGATCCTTTGTTAATGGTCACCTTTAGCTGATGTGAAACATGAAGTTACTGGTAAACCAGGGCATTTTTCTGAACAAAATGGTAATTTTTTGTTTAGAAATTAGTATTTTGGGTGGAGATAGTATATGTTGTATGAAACCCTTGATACATGAAAATAAAAAGTCATTGGCAGTTCAGTGATTTAAGATTATATACAGGTTTACATAACATTTTATGTTTTTTTTTTTTAGAAATTTAAGATGTTTTCAGTAAATACCGTGAATTCCAAGGTGAATTTTTTTTATAAAGAAAATTTGACTTTTATTCCCTGAAATTGTTTGGGTTTTCATAAACTTTCAACTAATTCACTTAACTGTGCAGTTCTCTGTACAATCCCAGTGAACAGATGAATAATTTTCAGAGAGTCAGTTCAAGATGGAGAATTTTTGGAAGACCTCCAACCTTTTCCAGTCAAATGAAATCCCATCATATCGACTCCCATCAGATCTTAAGGAAATGAGAGAACAGGAAAACGGTGATCTTCAAACCTCTCTGAGTTTGCAGGTGACCTTGAATTAGGTCTCATCAGGGAACTGGTGCCATATTCTATCCTGTAATAATATTTTCATTTAAAAGGATGCAAGTCAATCTGTTGATATCGCGAGGAGGAGGGATTGAGTGGTCATCTTGTTCCATGCAGATGGCTGAGTCTCAGAATTACAAATGTGAAATGAGATTGGAGATGTTTGGAAGAACCCTTTTTTCCCCATCCTTTTTAGCAGTGCCCATCTTTCTCATAAATGCTTTCCTTTAGCGTAAAAATTAAAACTGAAAGAAATAGCCCTTCAGTGTGGCAGTGACAAGCTGTAATTTATGTTCCACTTACTGAAGTTATGACCATTTATCCGCTGTTTGTGGTTTTGGTTCAAGTGATAGTGTGACCTCTAGTTGCTTTTTCATTATATTCTTCTACTGATTACTTGTTAGCAGTCAAAAACACAAGCACAGTATTGTTTTTCAAGCATATGTGCAATTATGTATGATTATAAACAATATGAATCCTAATTTGTACCATATGTACTGTCATGTACATGGTTTTGATCTTACCCCAGTTAAAAAATTGAATTCAAACTTGCAGCCACCAATGAGTGCAAAAAAAATGAGTGGCTTCATTTTTTCTTTTTTTTTTTTTTGTGGAGAACAGTTTCTTTTAATGAATGACCAGTCATTCATCATAAAAAAGAAAAAATAAATCATTCACTTCCCCCAAATTCAGCAGGTTTTACTAAGTCTGTGAGCTATTTTGAAGCTATTGGAAAGACACTGAGCTATTTGTGTGCATTACTGCCGACATTGGGAAAGTTAACCCTCCTTGATCCGTACATTTGAATGGCTGAAAGAAATGGTATAGGTGAATGCTGTAGCGGGGGATAGGATGCATAACCTTCATCTATGCCAATATTAGGAGCAATGGGGAACTGTGAATTTGAGGGATAATTTGTGTTTTGTTCTTCACACCTTAAGTATTGTAGATATAATTTTATTTATCTGTTGTACAGACTTGGTTAAAAGATTTATTTTTAACGTTTGAAATAATGCACTTGTTTCCTATGACTGTATGTGGGATAAATATATTTTCTTTTCAGGTTATGTAAAAATATGAAGTAATTTAAACATCAAATAAATGTGCTGTGGATGCTTATTTTTGTAATAAGAGCAGCATCAATTAAGTAAACATTTTTTATTGCTTGACTCTAGCTGGGCTACAGTTCACTAAAATTACGGGTTAGTGTTGCAGGTTCTCCGAAGCGATACTCTGGCTGCTAGTGCTACAAATGAAGGGCAGATAATAAGTAATTTTGTATCACCAGTTACTTCAGATGCAATGCAGGGAACGATTCTTCCGCAGTAAATCGCACCGTCCCAGGGTCTGATGAGATTACAGCTCCAACCAGGAGTCGAGTACTTTTTCCCCCTGGGTGCCAAGCCAGGAACTCTGTAGCAGAGCTCTGCATGAAAGCAGAGGAACTGACTTGATGTTTCTTCAGTCTGGCAACATCAAGAAAGTCATCCTTAAGATTTGGTTGGGTTAAGGAATTTAGCTTTTAATGTAGCTATTTAAGTCTCACACTGAATAAATAGAAGGAGGGGCTCCTTATGGAAAGGGTTCGGAGTGGTAGTTCTTATCCCCAAAGCCCCTTTTGTCACCAGGGAGTTTGTTTCTAACGTGGGCACCTGAACTAAGGTGCTGCAAATCCGCTCCAGCCTTCCCAGCTACAAGGCCTATTGAGGCGTCTCCCGCAGGTCAACAGAAACCTGGCACAATCATCAGCTCCGTTTCAATTCTTGGGCACTTGCCATCCAGCATCACCGTCTGTAACGTCAGGAACTGTTCCAAAAAGTTGCTCAGGCATCGTTACGTAAAATAACCAGGCAACAACATCGCTACTTAATGTTCTCCTATTTATTGGATTTTACATTTCATGTATTTACAAAGACATCCATAGTGCTTTCTATTTAATTTGGTTGCAACTGTCACTTAATACAGTATCAGTTCAGACTGTCACCATACATTGTTAAAAGAGGCTGTGAATTTACTTTAACTATCGGCACTTTTAACTATTACCAATTCTTTAGCCATTGTGTCTTTAGCCAGCTTTATAAATCTATGCTTCCATAGTAATTGTTTTTTTAGTAAGTAAAAATAAATATTTTTTAATTAAAGTTACCTCAATTAATGAAGCTTTCAATCATAGAATAGTTCAGGTGTGCTTAATACCCAAGTCACCTACACCATTAGATTCTTTTTAGCAGAGGTGGAGCACCCACTGGTACAAACTGAGTCTTTACGTGTGTGCATAACATTTTAAGAAATTTCCTTAAATACATTGGCACGTATTAATACAAGTAAGACCGGAGCAGCTTAACTGGTAGTTAATTGATTGTCATGTCATCCTCAAGTTGTCAGAAACTGTTACAGTCCAAAACCAATGCTATTTACAAAGTTTGGTCTTATGTTGCGTTAAAAACCATTATTTAAAATCCATTCCATTCATTTCTGGTTCAAAGCACTGACAGCTCGTACCTGTGAAAATGGTAGTACAAGCTAACAGAAACTAGTAGAAACCAAATGCTGATCACACTCAAATTTTTAATTTACTGTAATTCTCACTGTGCCATTTCCTAGTTCACTGTTCCCCAATAACCATCCAAGCTGCTGGAAGAACAGGAGGGGTCTCTCGGGAGGCTGACTGACCGATGGAACCTCCCCCCGGTACCTTTTGGAGGAGGGAGGTAGGTGGGATGCATGCCACGTGGGAAGTGAGTAGGAATGGCTCTTTATTCCAACTGTTTCACAAACTTAGTTTTTCAACTCTGATGTAGCTTGAGCTACCTCTCGTAGTATAATAACCCCCGGCACTATTCCTGTGGCTAGATGCATTTGTTAACGTATTTTGCGGGTTGTAATTAACATTTAGGGCGGCCTTGCAAACTCTGACAATATGCAAGGATGTACAATGTACTGAGCACTCACTATGTACTTTGCTGCAACAGTTATCGTACTTGTTGCACAAAAATGAGTCTGAAAAGCAGCTCAAGGACTTCTAACTGCTGAGGTGTGGCATTCAGGTCCAAGCCTATAAACACAACATTGCTTAAAAATGCACATAAAATAAGGTTTTGTGTTTTGAGGGAACAGGGTCATAACTGTAAAAAGAAAAAAAAAAAAAAAAAGCTAGTGACTACTTGGGTCTTTTTGCAAACTCTAATAACCTTACAGTTTCCTTTTAGCCTCAAGCCTTAAATTCCTAAATTACGCAGAACTTCTCTTAGCAGAGACCTCAGAAACCTCAGCTAAGGAAATGTAGCCAGTATTTAGCAATTTTAAAGCAGACGCAGCTTTCTGCTTACAATGCAATGTCCTGACGAACACACAGCTTCTAAACCAGAAAGTATTATAGAAAAGAAGACAAAGCCTGTCATCTTAAAATAGTACGATGCTTTGCGGTAAAACCCCAAGAACTGTTGGTGTGAGCTGTTACAGCTGGAGAGCCTGAGGTCCTGCGTTATGCTGTATTTTTACATATAGGGTTTAAAGAAGCATCAGAAAAATTCATTTGAAATATGCAGAAAAGCGTCGGGAGATAAATTATCACTACCTATTAAAAAACAAGGAAACCTCGGTTCAGGTCCTTTTAACCAACATCGTATTATTAAGCTTTCAGCTGCACAGACAAATGCTTCTCTAGGTAACCACCTCCCGGGAAAGTCTGTATTTAATCAACTCCTTGGTTTATTGGATAGCTAGTTCTCCCACAATTCTTTTTGCTCCAAAAAGAACAAAGAATGTGGGGATATAAAAACCAAACCACATCGGGGCATGAGGAATATAAAAAAAAATTTGGAAGACGATTTTTAAAGAGTTCAAAGTTAGTCCATGTATACCGTAACAAAATTTACTGTTGTTTGTTTACAGACATTCATTTCTGCCTGTAGTCATTTGGAACAGTTTCTTCTAACGTAACCAGATGAATGAATGGACAGATTTTAAATGTTTTATTGCTTACAAGTTGGCAAATACGGTAAATACCTGGTAAAGGAACAGAAATCCAATTTTCAACAGGAACAGTTTTGGGGTTTTGGGGGTTATTTGTGTGTTTGTGTTTTGGTTTTTGTTTTCTTCCCCCAAAATAACTTTGCTCATTACATTTTGATAATCTCTAAACAATTAATGCCTAATAAATCCGGAATACTATTTCTGAGCACAAGTTTTCACGCTTATACACTATTGCTTTCGTGTGCAAACATAAGGCAACTACATCATCCCATTGAACAGTCTGAAATCCTTTGAACCTGGTGCTTATTTTGAAGTTTTGGTTTCCCTCTTAAAACTTTCAGGAGAGGTCACAAGACAGATATTGT